TTTCATAAGCAATTTGGCCTTAACGTTGCTGCAAACTTCCTAAAACTCTTTTTTTTAAACAAACATAAAATAAAATATTTATTTATCACGTGGCCTATACAAGCCACTTTTTATTTATTTTAATAAGAGCTAAATAAAAACATAGTTGACTTTGGCATTAACCATCATGCCAAAGGTCCAAACCCACTGCCAACTCCGCATATCAAACCAAACAAGCCATCCATAAATTCCCTGGCTCGCTGGCTTCACACAAGTTGGTTTTGATGTTTTGGAATCAATGTTGGTTTGCAACTCCCCAGTTTGTTCAACTCGAACATCTTTGTTAGAAACTTTACGAGCCTGATTTGGCCTCATCTCAGCCTCGCAGAATGGAAAACCATAAGCGTTCTTGGCTTTAGGCAGAACACTCACGTTTTTTGGCACCTTTGTCTGGCCAAATCGACCATGTGGCATCGCTTGCCCAGACTGGTCTGGTTTTGTCAGCTTCCCACTCTCACCACGCTGTTGGGAGTAGGAGCACCGTGGCTTACGAGCTCCACCAACACCCATGTGAGTATTGCAATCTTGATTTTTGCACCTATCACACAACTTTGCCGCACTTGAGCTCCTACTTGAGTTTGAAATTTGTTGGGAATCAGGCTTGCCCCCCAATCCACCATTCATGGCAGAGTTCCTCTTAGCAAACATTGGTGTGGCAACTCCATGTCGTGCTCGATTGAGCTTGCCCCCCAGTTCACTCAATGGAGTCTTTGGGGGCACTTTACGTGGAGGATTCTGTTGATTCATGCCAAATTTGGTGGCATTATATTTTTTCACGTGGTCGCCACCTCCATCTTGAGTAGTGTTCGTGGTGATCCTAGTTTGATTTTTCCTAGAATAGGGTGGACGTGGCAAACTTATTTGCCACTTACGGTGATGTTTTTCTTTCAACCACCCATGCGGTGGGATCTCATGCCCCCTAGCGACTTAGATTGAACACCATTGCGATGTTGCTTGGACAACCCGTCATACGCGAGATTGCTAAGCTCAACGTGATTGTAACCATGTTGTCCACCCTGATTCTTATTAGAAATAAGTTGATATTGACCTCTTTGTAGTGGCTTCTGCAAGCCACCTCCAACTTGTGTGTCCTTAAGAACAACGTTGTTGACCGAAAATGGTACGTTGGGTTCGCTCGCTTCTGGCAACACTTTCGTAGCCATAATTGGCGATGGAGTTTGATTGACATTGGCTAGTCGACCCACCATCGTAGCATCACATGCAACATACAAGGTTTCAGATTTAAACACATCAAAATCATACGTGGCTCTACGTATTGACATATTAAAATCAGAAACAGAGTCTTCCAACTTATCAAACCATTGATCTATATTTTTTTCAAGATTATCCATTTTTTTATCAAGAGAAGTTAAAATGAGATTTACCTGTTGGCTATCTCTGCTGAGTTCAACCACTACTTGGCGGAGTATATGCATCATCTCACCCTGATCGGAGATTCGTGCCACTGATTACACCTCCGCTCCAACGTTGTTGCTTGAATCACCAACAATGTCGTCAATCTCGACATTGATCATTTGAGCCTCAATCATGGATCCTTGTATAAGACCACAATCTTCTTTTCCTCGTCGCAGAGCCATGTCAACACACGTGTCCCACTGGGCGTGCCAAATTGTTTCCTTGCGAAACCAAATACCATCGCCGTGCCGAATTTGGTTCCGGCGATGTTGATTTGATGCTTCGCGGTGGAAACTCTTGCGGTGCCGCTGATTGGATGCACCGCTGATAGTTGAAATCGAGACGACCGTCAAATATCCACCACCTGACGATGTTGATTTGATCGGTGCAACTCTGACTTCCGAAAACGATGACGATCGTCAAATATCCACCGACGTGCGATGTTGATTTGATCGATGCACCTCTGAATGGTGAAATCAACGTGACCGTCAAATATCCACCGTCGGGCGATGTTGATCTGATCGATGCACCTCTGACTTCTAACCAACGCGACCGTTACTACGGTTCGCACCTCTCCAAACTACGTTCGAACGAGGGTGTTTGAGTTTTTGAGGAATCTACGTTACGACTACTCCTATGGAGATTCCTGTGGAGAGCTCCGCGACTACGCTACAACTATGACTATGGAGATCCTTCCTGGAAGGAGAGCTCCGCGAAGGAGTTACAGAGAAAAGGTAAAGTTTGACAGAGTTGTTCTGTGTTGATTTTTGGTTCCCTTTCTCTCTCTTTGCTCCACTGCTTTTATTCGAAAAACTGCTTCGTAGTCTTCACGCTCGGTGGAACCGCTTCCTCAACTGCTCCGTTGTGAACTCCCACGTGTCTCAACCGTCTTGATCTCCTCCTCGCTCTGGTTGGTGTGAATCTCACGCGACGTCGTTTTCTCCTCCAAACAGCTATGTTTGGCTTTTTACTTCGCGACATTGTTTTATATTAAACAGTGTCGTTTTAACTACTGCGGCATTGTTGGGCTTTCCCGCAGTATCGTTTTTAACTAAACGACACCGTCCAAAATAATAATAATAAAACTATCAATTTATTTAACCAAGGAGACTTTGCACTCGCGTTGGACTTGGCGGATTTTGGCCCAAGCACTTAACCGATATGGGTTTTAATTAACCGGCATCGCTTACCAAGGCTTCTCGCGGTAACGTTTTTAAATCCGCGGTACCGTTTTAATTATCCGCAATGCCGCTTGTCTCCATGCGGTATCGCTTATCCCCTTCCGACAATGAATAGCAATAATAATAATAATAATAATAACTCATTTTCCACCACCAATACCAAAACGCGCGGCCCCATCGTATTTTCAGGCATTGTCGTTTTCTGTGTCGCGATACCGCTGAGCTTTCTTGCAGTACCGTTTTTTTATCCGCGGTATCATTTTAACTTCCCGCGATACCGCTCAACTCCAACCGACACCGATTTTTATCCTACGGTATCGAATTAAACGCCGAGACTAATTAATGCGGCATTTAATTCAGACCAAAAATATTTTAGGTGTAAACAGGAAGCAATGATTCCAGACACAAAGAAAACAGGAAACATAGCCGGCTACATCAGGAGAAAGCTAAATTAACTAGAATTCGACTGTAACAGGTTCAGCCATCCAGATGAAGAATCGTTTGTAAGCCCTTCATAATGAACATTCGATATTAAGAAAAGTTCATTATTTTCACTAATTATGTGTTGAGTTGATTACTTAAACATACCAGTCTCATGTCTGAATGGCCTCAAGAAAACGGAAATGTATCTTTCAACGTGAAACTTCTAAAGCACTATGGAAAATGAACTATTATCTCAAGAACTCCCTGTTTATATATAGCTCCCAACTAACATAATAAAAAGGCTTGCAAACCAAGAAATCTTGCACGTATGCATTGTTCCTAAGCTTCGCATGCTTCCAGCACAAAAAAATGGCATTATACGTCCACTTCTGATCATGTAAAAGCACCACAGACAAATTTGACTTAAAAGAACAACATGTGAACTGCATGGTAATGGCCTGATGGTTGGGAACAGAAATAAGCAGATAACTATTAAAAGTTGCAAACTTTCCTTCTCTTTTAGCTGAAAATGATCGAACCAAAGGCATTAATCCAAATAAGTTGGCACATCAAACAAATGGTGACATACATCGAACACTCGCATCCCCAGAAGGCTATATTAACAGTAACATTAATGGAACACATAAAGTGTTTATGAATGACTACTTAAGCTGCATTTGAAGAATGAAAGGGCTAACCAGAAAAAAACTAAAGGGATTTAAAGTCCTTGTGGTGTTAGAACCAACTTATATAAGTGATACTTTCACCTTGATAGACGCAATATTATAATGATTTCCAACTAAACCGACAGAATTGAGACAATGATTACTCAAGGAAAAAGGGCAACCATGACTAAGCATGATCACTACAAGAAACTGTACCTTCTGCGACGAATTCTTTTGTGACGACAAGAAATTCGTCGCAAAAAGAACACATTTTGCGACGACATTTTCTATTCCGTCGCTGATAGTGTCATGTTCCAGCGGAAGATGGGGCGGATGTTTCCGCGACGGAATTTTACTTTTCACGACGATCTTTTTCGTCGCAGAAAATTAATAGATATTTTGCGACGATACCCTCCGTCGCAGAAAGCTTGAAGATTTTTCGCGACGAAGAAATTCGTCGCGTTATGGTAGTTATATTTCGCGACGACCATTATCCGTCACTATATCATTGAGAGGTTTTTGCGACAAAAGACTTTCGTCGCATAACGTTTGTGTTTGCATCGACTGGCTCCGTCGCTGAAAAAATTCAGCCGAAAAATCTTATGTTGGAAACGGTAACGTTTTATTTTATAATAAATTAAGATATTTTTAGCAAACCTTTTCTCCACTCCCTGTGTCCCGTAAGTTTTTAATTTAATAAATAAATAATTGTTTTATTTACCTAATGAAACGGTGGCGTTGGGGTCTTCTTTCCCTTTGGCTATCGAACGCTTCTTTCATTCCTCAAATTCTAGAACCCTAAAATTTCTCCTTGAACTTGAAAGAACGAACTCTCACCCAAATGGCGCCATCGAGAACCGATTCTCCAACGCTGTTGGCAGGAAATTCCCTTTGATTCTGTATGATAGTGCTCTTCGATTCCGCCCGTCATCGGTCGCATCTCCTTCTCCTTGTCGATTCTCAATTCTTCTTTCCGTCCATGAGCTCAAGAGTTCCCTGTAAGTATTTCTTCAATGTTTGCCTACCGACATGCCATTGAGGTTGTGATGTGTTCATTTTTGACTATTGCAGAAGGTTAATTGGTGTTGGGGGCGAAGGATTCAAGCATTAAGGCACGAATTTTGGAGGGGCATGTACGACATGAAAAAAACTAGGTTTTCCTGGATGAGTGCAGTGTTATAAATCGCCAATTTAACCCCTCTTCTTGCCTCCATTCTGTTTCAGATCTCGTCGTCGACCAGTGACTACATTCTTGTTCCTAGAACTCCTTCCCTATGCCCTGAAGCTCTCTGCCTCGATCTCCTTGAACGCTCTGCAGCTACAAACCGTAGTGTTCCCTACTTTCTCCTTGTCGGTTGTAGCTGTTAGTTGAGACTGTGAGTGTGTTACTCGAACTAGAGTTACCCAGTACCCTTTTCCATCTCTTTGTTTATTTTTATCAATTCCCATTGATTTTTCTTCATGCCTTTTTGGCTTTGCGTGGGTGTTTATAGAGAAAGGAAGGGAGGGGAGGTTGTGAAAAGTCAATATGGAACTTTGTTCTTTAATTGTGCTTTTCTCTTGGCCATGTATAGCTACGTAGATAAGGTTTAATTGTTGCCTCCTCTGTCTCTCACAGCAACACGTTTATGTTTAGCTAGCTAGCTTAGTTTATTTGTAGCAGTGTAGGAAGTAGGAAACTAAACTTGGTTTTCTTTTATTTGAAATTTTGCTGTTAGTACTTGAAGTCTTGAAACTTCATATGTATAAATATTAGTCAAAGGTAACTTACTCGTTAGCTAAAGAACTTAGTTAATAATTTATTTGTGTAATTAGAGATAGCCAGATTGCATAGTTTTTACAATTCCACCCATTATTATTGAATCGGTAGACTTCTTAGCTTGATACTTCTTGGTTTCCAAAATATTATATGAAACTAGTCGGAAAACAAAAAATACCACTTCGATGATTATATATGAGATTTTACTTGTCAGAGTTCTCTTATTTTCTTGTAATTGGTTTGTTTCTTTGTGATATCCATACTGTCTATTATTCTTATCAATATTGGTTTTAGGTTCACATCACAGTATAAGAATTTCAAGTCAGCAACTTGGTGAAAAGGGAGGCTATAGAAGAAGAAGGTATTACACAACTAATTAGAGGTTTTTTCTTGTTACCTTTTACATTTATGCTACACTTATTAGATCATTGAAGTCTAACTAGATACTTACACTAGGATGGATAAATCTTGGATGAAGAAGAAGAGGTTTAGCACAGATTACATTCAGGGTGTTAGATCTTTCATAAGTTTTATAGAGCAACATCTTGGTCACAACGATGATGTTCATTGTCCATGCAAACGTTGCTTGAACGTTTATAAGGAGCCACTTGAAGGAGTTTTTGCCCATTTAATGATTAATGGGATTGACCATGGATATACAACTTGGGTATATCATGGTGAGCCATCTCATTCTCATATGAACTATTCATTTTTTAACCCACATTATTCTAGTCTTACAATTTATTGAGTTTCAGGTTAACTAATGGCGCCTGGTCCATCCAATTCAAAGAGAGGACAATTCGCTAATGTGGGCAATGCTTCCATGGGTAAGAGAAGCTCATTATTAAATGGCCCACTAGCACCCAAAAAGTCTCCAACGTTAGCCCAAGGTGAGTAATAATATTTGTGCAAATCTTTTGTTTCTGTTAGGGACGTCTTAAACCCTTTGCCGTATACTTTTACTTGAGGGAACAAAGCAACCATGCCATATAAGGAGTTATGCTTCAAATGAGTGCTCATAGCAAAATTAAACATGAATTATCAATCAGTTCTCTACCGCCAGAATGTTCAGATGTCATTAGATTGAGATGACATTGTTTAATTACTCTTTACTCATGGTGTTTGTTTTTATCACTTGTTTTTCGGTGTATTTGTTCTTGTAGCAAGAAAAAAAGGCGTAGGTGGTACTTTCCATAACAACGGGACGACAACATCTCGTCAACAAATTATATTACAGGCTGTAGGTTTGCAAACTGAGATGGTTGGTGCTAGTACTGAACCAGCAGCTAAAGGGCCAAGAAGTATGGTACCTCCTTCGTCCAATGCTCCTAGTCCTGCTCCATCAACAAATATGAATCCTTCTGATCCTTTGGAGGAAGTTTTCGAAGAAAATGTCCAGCAAGAAACTGATGGAGGTCCAAGTGATGGGGATACCCAAAAGAAGAAAGGAAGAGGGCCCACACGAGGTGTTAGTCTTAACAAGCGGACTGAGAAGGCTGGAAAAAAGCCAGAAGTTGAGATCGATGGATTCTTGGGTCGACCGCTAAATAGGCAGCAAAGTAATGATATTGGCATCGTACTTGGTTTCATCTCACATGACTATTACTGGCCAATTGATAAGTCGAAAGAAAAGGGTACTATGCTGGAAGAGGTCATACTGAAGTTAGAGGTAATTGATATAATTATTATATATTATTAGTGTCCTTGCTACCTAATCTGACATATTGATTTATCTAATGCAAGCTGAAACTTGATATGGGAGACATAAGAGAAAGCCCTGTGGAGATGGACAAATGACTCGCTGTTACTGTCACTCTAGAAAATGGCCAAGTGCAACCACTTCCTAAAGCGTAGTATAGCGGGTTTGGGTTTTATTATCAACCCAGGTCCTAGATGTGATGACTACTCGGTGAATTCTTGTTATTTAGCGGTGAACTTTTAGTGCAACTCAAGCAAACAAAACACAAAGCAAGTAAACGGTTTGTTGTCAAGTCAAGAGAGGTCACCCAGATATGGATCCCCCTAGACTGCAGTTAAGTCAGATTGTAATTACCAAGTTCAGTTTTCATGAAAGTTATACTGCGGAAGGTTCTCAATTAGCCTGAAGTCTCGACTAAAGGTCTCCAGACCCTCTCAATCTGAGTCTCTAGCGGGCGACTAACCTCCACCGGAGTAAACAGATTGAGGCCCTAATGAACCAAACCTCCACTACCGAATTAACTTCGGTACAGAATAGCGAATTGGCTCCTCGACTAAAGTCACCAATTCGCCACCTTCGATTAAGGGTACTCTATCAACCTAGGCAGATATTCTCATTCCAGGTCAAAGCAGAAACGACAGGAATTTGATCAGGATTCAAGTCATTCAATCATTCAAACCTCAATCGAATATAATCAATTCACAAACTCTGTACTTGGGCTCATACAATCAGACCTAGCATACAAATCTAGGGTTCCCCATACCCAGATGAATGGGGAAACTACTCCATAGAGAAAGAAGCAAAAGCAGATTCAGACACGGAAATCATACTGTGAAGTTGGATTCCTGCTCCTGGACGTTTAATCGCACTTCTCCAAGCTCAAGACGGGCTCCAATGGTGTTGAAGATCGATCTATGGCGCTTGGGAACTCTGGTTCGTCGCTTTCTCTCTCTAGGAATCGATTTCTCTCTCAAAAACACGGAACCCTCTGAAAATTGGCCTTCTTCCTCTTTTATCAGCTGACCCCGCGATACCCGGTCGAAATACCCGGTCGGGTATTTTATGGTTCGACCGGGTATTATTGAAACGCGCCGTTCCACTAAAGGGGGAAATCCCCGGTCCAACACCAAAATCCCCGACCGGGGATTTAACGACATCGCCCGGGCCCCCTTTTGTTTCTCACGGGTGCCCGAGGGAGGAAATACCCGGTCGGGGCCAGAATATACCCGGTCGGGTATTTCTTCCTTTGACCGGGTATTTTGGTCCAGCAGCATCCTTTGTCCAATCTTCGCTCCTTTCGACCCGGAACTCGTTTCTCCGCCTCGATTCCAACGCCGGGACCTGAAATATGACATAAACACACAACCTAGCGTGAAATCGGCTTAAAACACGAGATTCCTCGTTACAAACGGCATCAGAATAGGGGTGAAAACATGTATAATTATCGGTCTATCAAACTCCCCCACACTTAAGCGTTTGCTTGTCCCCAAGCAAACCCAACTCAAACCAATGCAACTCTCCATACCTCTATAGCAACAAACAACCTCGATCGTTGGCAGAGGACTTCCTAGATCATTTAGCAGCTTACGAGGTCAACCGACGCACAAGTCATCACATAGCCTCTTCGGCGAGAAGGCTAGTCTCGAATCGGCATCATGGCAAATAGTGAACAGAGGACAAATGAATCGTGGATGAAGAGACTCTCACAAACAAAAGGTCATGGACTCACATTAATTCAAGGTGCTCAATTTTCTTTGTGAACATGGTTGGAACCCTTTTCTTTCTTCTTTTTGCTTGTTTTTCTGTTTTTCTCTTTTTTTCACGGGTTCCAACCTGTTTCTGCAGAAAACGGGGGCCCCCACCTAGCAAAGGTTTTGCGGGAGCCCGGCTCTTACCGGCCATGCCAGGAGCGGTTGTCTCGAGCCTCGTGCGGGGGAAAGACATGTAAGGGGCCTGGAGGTAGTAGGTGGAAATTGGGAACGGATTCCCGTCTCCCCTTACACACTTTCGCCCTATTCGCACGGGAGACGTTATTTTAAAGCACGTTTCGAGCACCTGTTACATTAAGAACATGATACAAGAGTCCATGACAGGCAGAGAGTCCACGACACCACACCATTCAAGGGTCCTAAGATCACTAATTCACTCAATCAACCAACACAATATGAAGAAGAAATGAGACTTCTTAAATGCATCAACATCCTCCATAGTGCTACACTACCTCCCTAGGTTGCAAATCACTACAGAGACTGTCAATTCAAAGCATACTGAGCAGGCAATTGCAAGGAACACGTACTTGGAGCCCTCAAATTTAAAAATTTGGACAGTGGACTAGGCTCCAAGCACACAAACAGAGCTAATGCAGTCAAAAGATAAACAGCCCCCCCACACTTAAGATCGACATTGCCCTCAATGGAGAAGAGGGAAGGAAAGGGGAACGATGTTACCGGTATGCACGGACTGCAGAAGACTGGAAATGGACCAGTCGGGAACACAGCACAGCTCAAGGGGAACAGAAGAGCTCAACCAGAATATGTTAGGTCCGATGTCAGCCCAATAGACATCATCCAGAACAAAGGAAACAAACCCAAAACCAAACCAAATCGCAATCCGACTCGAAACATAAGAAAGAAAGTCAAACCGTGGTGGGGTTGCCTCCCCACAAGCGCTTCTTTACCGTCTTTTAGCTGGACGCCCATGGTGGATACTCAGGGAGGTGCAGGAACAGGTGCCTCCAAGAGCGGATCCACATCGCTCTTGAGGTACAGCTTCAGGTGGTGACCATGCACCCGACGGTTGCAACCACCAGCATCGGTCAGCTCGACCTGGCCATCCGGCAAGATGCAGGCGAGTGAGTACTCGGATGGCCAGGGTGGTCGTGGTGCAGGGGGTGGAACCAGCTCGTAGTGGTCTCCACCTTTCTTCCGTGCAGGCTTAGCCACCTGCGGCTTTGGCCGCCACTCCTCCTTGAGCTTTTTGTTCGGGGGCGAGACTGGATGGAGTGGCGGCGAAGGAGTGATAGGCGGGTCCTGCAAAATGAGAGGTGCAGGAGGATACACGACAGGCTCGTGTACCTGATCAGAAATGGCATGCACAGGTGTGACAGCAATTATAGCACAGTGATCGAACTCAGTCACAGAAAAAGTAGCATGTTCATTCCTAGCACGCAAGATCAGTTTACCATCATGCACATCAATCAATGCCTTGGCGGTGGCAAGAAATGGTCTACCAAGAATCAAAGGCACATCCACATCATCATTTATGTCCAGGATAACAAAATCAACAGGATATGTGAATGCACCAACGTTAACAAGCAGATCCTCTATGATACCCCTAGGATGCACAACGGATCGGTCAGCTAGTTGAATGCTCATCCTAGTAGGGCTAAGTTCACCTAGGTCTAGCTTTTTGAACAATTTGTATGGCATGACATTAATGCTAGCGCCTAGGTCCGCCAAGGACTTTCCTACATGCATGCTGCCAATAGTAAGAGGGATAGTAAAACTCCCTGGATCCTTGCGCTTTTCGGGCAGCTTGTTCTGCAGGATGGCAGAACACTCCTCGCTCAGCAGCACTGTCGAGAGATCCCCAAGTTTCTTCTTGTTGGTGCAGAGATCTTTCATGAACTTCGCGTACTTGGGCATCTTCGACAGTGCCTCCACAAAAGGTACGCTGATGTTGAGCTGCTTCCACATTGCCATGAACTTGGCAAACTCAGTCTCCAACTTATCTTTATGTAGGCGAGTGGGGAAGGGAAGCTGGGGCACATGCTCCTTAACCACTGGTTGTGGCTTGGGAGCAAGGGCTTCCTTCTCCACCCGCACTTCTGCATCACCGGCTGGAAGTGCTGAAGCAGGTAGTGGTGCCTCCTGCCTGTTCGGGGCAGGATCAGCTGATGTAGGCCTGCCGCTCAGGGTGAAAATGGCATGTGCGGTCTCGTGCGGGTCCCGTGGATTGGGGATGGTGGTGGCAGGTAGAGTCCCCGGGGCCCGAGCAGTAAGCTGGCGCGCTAGGACGCCGACTTGGTGCTGTAGATCTTGCAAAATAGCACCCTGGTTCCTCTGCCCTGCCTCCAAAGAGGCTATGCTCTGGTCCACCCTCGCGAAATTCGCCTGGCTGGTGGTCATGAATGTCGCCAAAATATTCTTCAGATCAGCCATCTGAATTATCTGGAGATGCGGCTGCTGGAGGCTGAGCAAACTGGCCCTGGGGCTGCTGGAATGGCTGCCCTTGCCTAGGCTGGTAGGGCTGCTGCTGTGGTGGCGGCCCCTGCCTAGCCTGGAAGGGCTGCCTCTGCTGGAAACCACCTGCTGGTGCTGGGAAACCAGGTGGTTTGTTGGTGTTGCTGCTCCAGGCAAAGTTGGGATGCTGGCGCCATCCCTCATTGTAGGTGTTGCTGTATGGGTCCAGGAGCCGAGCATTTGCTATGAAGTCCACCTGCTCTTGGGGAGTAGAAGACTCCCTCATAGACTGACAATCCTCCACCAGGTGATTCGGGCTCTCACACCACTGACACTGAGCTACTGGAGGCGTAGCTACACCTCGGCCCGGAAGGAGACTGTTAGGCTGCTTCAATGTCTGCACCAACTCAGCCACCTGCTGCTCTAACCCAGATCTGGCCTCAATAGCATGCACACCCCGGTCCCGGGAGCTCCTGCCTCTGTTGTTCTGCCCCCAGGAGTGGTCTCGGGCAGCCAAGGTACTGATCATCTGGTTCAGCTCGGGTGGAGTCTTAGTAAGGATATCCCCTCCTGGGCATAGAGACTCAATCACCCTCTGGCTGTCTGGAGTGAGGGCGCTGTAGAAGTTCCCTACCGTGAAGGCATCGCTGAAACCATGATGGGGACACTGCCAGAAGTATCCCATGTACCGCTCCCATGCATCACGAAGGGACTCATCTGGCTCTTGGCGGAAGTGAGTGATCTCCCGTTGTATCTCCGTGGTCTTCGATGCCGGATAATACCGGTGCACGAACTTGTCAGCCAGATCGTCCCAAGAGGTGATGGACAATGGGGGCTGGGTCTCCAACCACCTCTTAGCATTCCCCGCCAGAGAATGGGGGAAGAGGTGAAGGCGGATTGCATCATCCGGAACACCATTCAGCTTGAACCCGTTCGTCAGCTGCAGAAAACGGGAAAGGTGTGCCCGGGCTTCCTCATCCTTCAAGCCATGGAACTGGATAGAGGATGTGATGAGCTGAATCCAGCATGGCTTGATCTCGAAGTTGTTTGCAGGAATGGGCGGATAGAGGATGACCGGGCGGATGTCAGCAATCCGTGGAGTATAGTAGTATTCCAGGGTGGGACCCGGTGGTGGTGGATGATGATGGTGCCCAGCTCCCTGGGGGTGTTGGTCGTTCCCCAGGATCTGGTTCTGAGGAGGTGGGTTCTGATCGCCTTCCATCTCGTACTCGTCCTCGGAGTCGCTGGTCAATTGGCCGTCTCGGCGCTCCACCGTAGCCAGTCTAGCTTGCTGTTGTCTCCGAAGTTGTTTGCAGGTGCGCTCAATCTCAGGATTCAACGGCAGTAAACCTCCCGACTGGCTACGGGTCATGCACTATCTGCACACAATCAAGCAATGCAAACCCGTGAAGGCACAAGTGGGAGAAACAAAAACTCAATGCAAAAATGAAAATGCTAAAGTAACAGAAATCACTTTTCTTCAACAACCTAGCCGTCCCCGGCAACGGCGCCAAAAACTTGACTCGCTGTTACTGTCACTCTAGAAAATGGCCAAGTGCAACCACTTCCTAAAGCGTAGTATAGCGGGTTTGGGTTTTATTATCAACCCGGGTCCTAGATGTGATGACTACTCGGTGAATTCTTGTTATTTAGCGGTGAACTTTTAGTGCAACTCAAGCAAACAAAACACAAAGCAAGTAAACGGTTTGTTGTCAAGTCAAGAGAGGTCACCCAGATATGGATCCCCCTAGACTGCAGTTAAGTCGGATTGTAATTACCAAGTTCAGTTTTCATGAAAGTTATACTGCGGAAGGTTCTCAATTAGCCTGAAGTCTCGACTAAAGGTCTCCAGACCCTCTCAATCTGAGTCTCTAGCGGGCGACTAACCTCCACCGGAGTAAACAGATTGAGGCCCTAATGAACCAAACCTCCACTACCGAATTAACTTCGGTACAGAATAGCGAATTGGCTCCTCGACTAAAGTCACCAATTCGCCACCTTCGATTAAGGGTACTCTATCAACCTAGGCAGATATTCTCATTCCAGGTCAAAGCAGAAACGACAGGAATTTGATCAGGATTCAAGTCATTCAATCATTCAAACCTCAATCGAATATAATCAATTCACAAACTCTGTACTTGGGCTCATACAATCAGACCTAGCATACAAATCTAGGGTTCCCCATACCCAGATGAATGGGGAAACTACTCCATAGAGAAAGAAGCAAAAGCATATTCAGACACGGAAATCATACTGTGAAGTTGGATTCCTGCTCCTGGACGTTTAATCGCACTTCTCCAAGCTCAAGACGGGCTCCAATGGTGTTGAAGATCGATCTATGGCGCTTGGGAACTCTGGTTCTTCGCTTTCTCTCTCTAGGAATCGATTTCTCTCTCAAAAACTCGGAACCCTCTGAAAATTGGCATTCTTCCTCTTTTATCAGCTGACCCCGCGATACCCGGTCGAAATACCCGGTCGGGTATTTTATGGTTCGACCGGGTATTATTGAAACGCGCCGTTCCACTAAAGGGGGAAATCCCCGGTCCAACACCAAAATCCCCGACTGGGGATTTAACGCCATCGCCCGGGCCCCCTTCTGTTTCTCACGGGTGCCCGAGGGAGGAAATACCCGGTCGGGGCCAGAATATACCCGGTCGGGTATTTCTTCCTTTGACCGGGTATTTTGGTCCAGCAGCATCCTTTGTCCAATCTTCGCTCCTTTCGACCCGGAACTCGTTTCTCCGCCTCGATTCCAACGCCGGGACCTGAAATATGACATAAACACACAACCTAGCGTGAAATCGGCTTAAAACACGAGATTCCTCGTTACAAACGGCATCAGAATAGGGGTGAAAACATGTATAATTATCGGTCTATCAACAAACTTTGGGACTGGTTTCAAAAAATTGTGAAGGATAGAAGGAGCAAAACAAAAGCTACTCATTATTCTATCAACAAGCAAATGGCAAGGCAAAACAAGCCTAGTTATCTAGATGAAGAGACGTGGAAAAACTTGTGTGACCATTGGGACACTGAAAAAGTGCAGGTATGCCTCTTAAACTTGCAAGTACAGAGATTAACATTAGATGAAATTGGTCACTTCAAGTACGAGCATGTCACAGGCAATTGCTCAGATGAATGCAGCAAATCGGGGTCAAGTGATGAATCTAAACACTGAGGGAAGAGCAGCCTATGTTTGCGTGTATCGAGAGAAGGTTATCTACTTTATAACACAAAACTATGTTTTCTATTATGACCAAATATTAAGTTCTTGGTTGTTTTGTGTCTTATGTGCATTTTAAACAGAAAGCACAGCAAGTGAGTGGTGAGCTGTCAAAGATGGAATTCTTCAAGTGGCTGGATACCAAGGATACTGGAGTTTGGAGGAACCCACACAAAAAAGAACAATATGTAAGTTTGACTTATGAGAAGTAACCATCTGGTTCCTTCTTTAAAAGCAAATGTTTATTATATTCCATTCGTCTTTTACCTACTGCCCATTGTTATTTGTCGTGCATTTTATCATTTGTTAGTGATTCTTGTTCATCTCCTCATATGAATTTTGTAGGAAAAGATGCAGGAGCTTGTTGATAGTTCTAAAGATAGTGATAAGCCCAATTCTGAAGATCAGGCTTTTCATATAGTTTTGGGTTACAACTCGGGATATTGTCATGGACTTGGGTATGGACAGTCAGCCCCATCTAGGAGGAGAGATAATGTGGATGCCAACTATGAACAACTATTCAGGGATAAAAGCTAGCTACAAGAACGGTGTGCGAATCTTGAGGAGCATGTGACTCAACTTAATGAAAAACAAGCTGAGTCTAATCAACAACTTGCAGCGACTACTGACAAATTGACAAGGGTAGAAGAAGAACTTGCAGAATTTAGGAGGATTATGGCGAACCTTCAAGCTAGAGGCAACATTTAGCTAAACAGGTAAGAGAAGTTCTTAAGTTTCACTTGAACTCATTATGATGGAGACAAATGGTTGGATTTTAGCGGAATATAGTCTACATCAGGGTTGGCAGCAAAAAAGTATTGAAATTGACATTATGGTAAACACATTGCTAGACAAGGGATATGTCTCTATAAGTAAGGAGGACTTACCCTTCAAATTTTATTAAGCATCTTAATAAGCATGGATCATTTCAATGTTGAATGTGTTTGAATGATATATATATAGTTGTTTTCCCAATATGAGGTATTCTCATTAATGTGGGTCTTGAAGGAGACAATTAACTTGTGCCCTTCATTGTTTTTTTTGTACAGATTACCTTTGTGATGATTAGTATTTTGGATGCACAGTAGCTAAAGAAGCCATGCTTAGCTAACTTAGAATTTTGGTAAAACTACTCTTTAACTTTTTTATTGTTTCTTTTGAACTTGTGTTTTTGTATACCAAAGTTATCATATTAAGGTGCTTCCTTACTGAATTTTGCAGGTTATCAACTAGTGTTGATCTTTTTGCCATGGACAATGATTCGACAGCATGTACATGTCGTGAAGTCTGTTCCTATGATGTGCATAACTCTAGATATAGGGGCCACTAATATTAAGATTCCAAATGTTATGGATAATTATATATGAGAGATTGAGATCCTAGTAGTACTAGTAGTATATATGGCTTGTATAAACGACAACGGAGCTACCGATTTGAACTATGTTATGAGCTATAAAGGACTTGTGTTTATCTAAACAGGTTGTTATAAATACAAAAGATCAACAAAAGAAATTAACAACAATGCAGGTTAGTTTTGGCGACGAATAAACTTTTTGTAACGGTATATTTCGTTCCAAAGAAAGTTTTATAGATTCAGAAAATCAGCGACGGTGTGTACGTCGCTGAAGGAGACATACTATTAGCGACGACAAAATTCGTCGCAAAAAATAAACTTCTCGCGACGAAATAATTTCGTCGCAGAAAATCGTACAATCGCGACGAGTGAAGTCGTCACCAATAACCACTTTCGGCGATGACTAACCTCGGTCGCAGAAAATAGATAAACAGCGACGAAAATATCCGTCGCAAAATCTTTTGAATTATGCGACGAAGTCCTCCGTCGCTAATGTAACATTTGGCGACGAACCTGTCGTCGCGAAATGTCTAACTTTCAGCGACGAATGTATGCTTTTCTGCGACGAACTTGTATTTTCCGTCGCAAACCCTTTTGCGACGCTGTATTGGCGACGACCTTTGGGCTTCTTTTGCGACGCCAATATTCGTCGCCGATATGTTTTCGCGACGGATTTTATATTTTCCGCGACGATTTTTTCCGTCGCAAAAAATGAAGTTTCTTGTAGTGATTCCCTTCTAGGACCTTGTAATTTTGAGTTCAGAGAACCGCCACAACAACTCGTTACTTAAGGCAGAAGGGCAACCATAACTAAATATAATTCTCATCTATGACCCTTGTAATTTTCAGTTCGGAATCCCCCCCCCCCCCCCCCCAAACCAATCTTTACTCAATGCAGAAGAGCAACCACGAGTAAGCATGATTCTCTTCTAGGACATTGAACTCAGTTTGAGAATCGCTACAAGAAATCTTCAGTTAAGACAGAAGGGCAACCATGACTACGTATAATTCCCTTCTAGGACCTTGTAATTTCAGTCCGATACTTTCCAGTACCAATCTTTACTCAAGGCAAATGGGCAATCATGACTAATCATAATTCCCATCTAGGACCTTGTAATTTTCCATTTAGAAAACCGCCACAGCTAATCATTACATAAGGCAGAAGGGCAATTATGACAACATAATTCCCTTCTAGGGCCTTAACAAACCAAATAGGCTCGTATTCGTGCAAGCTCACATTATTTAATAATATGTTTCGAATCTGTCGAAGACCAATTAACAATGTTACCTTCTATGAACTCTGTCAAATCTAGAAGGATTCTAAACACTTCATTTAGAACTAAAGCGCTGAAACAAAACCAACAAATGTTTCATAAGAAACATGTTTCCTTCATATTACTCCCAAATATACATGACGCTACATAAAAGATCTCTCCAAAAAAAAAATTGACAGAAGGGAAACGAGGACTTGCAATGTTTCACTTCACAAAGAATACAATTCTGGCTTAGATAATGGCAGCAAACATGATGTGAAACAGCTCTCATACCCAGGCATATTGATGGCAGGTTAGATGGTTAACATATGCAGAAGAGTGATCACAAGACATGGTTCTCTTCTAGAACTTCCTTTCAGGTGCTTGCTTAATGAAATTTTTGTCAAGTAAACAGCTATAAAGTGCAGTATTTGGCAAATAAAACTAGTGCTTATGAAAGAGGAATAAAGAAACTAGAATTGTTCATATGTAACAAACCAATATGTGATTCTGGAACCAACTTTAATCACACATTACTCACCTTGATTCCCAAAGTCCCAAATGCAGAATTGATGAAGCAAATGAGGCCGATAGGGCTTTGCCAAGTCTTCTACAAAATAATTTCGAAGGTGATAACAACAAGGTTGAGTCAGGTCCTACCCTCCGTGGTCAATGAGTCGCAAAACGGATTTGTCAAAGGCCGGGATATATCTGACAATATCCTCATTGCTCAAGAAGTTATGCATTTTTTGAAAACAAAGTCACAGGGGAAGGACAAATGGATGGCTTTGAAGTTGGACATGGAAAAAGCATATGATCGAGTGGAATGGGGGTTCCTCTTTGCAGTTATGGAAGCGTTGGGTTTTGATTCCAGCTGGATCAAGTTAATTAAAGCTTGTGTAACAACTGTGACCTTCTCAGTGATTCTTAATGGCAACACCCACGGATACTTCCGCCCGGAACGCGGCATTCGCCAAGGTGATCCACTCTCACCCCTTTTGTTTGCCCTTTACACTGAAGCATTCTCTACAATGATCACCTATGCCATTTCATTATAGCAGCTGCATGGACTTAAAATTCATCGACTTGCTCCCTTGACGTCCCATTTACTATTTGCTGATGATACATATCTGCTTTTGCGAGCCTCCACCACTGAGTGCGCACAGCTTGGACAACTTCTCTCCTTGTATGAGGCGGCCAGCGGGCAAAAGATTAACCTGCAGAAGTCCAAAGTCTGCTTCAGCGCCAATGTCTCCGATCAGGAAGCTCTAGACTTGGCGGCCAGCTTGGGAGTGGATGCTATAGGAGAGCTTGGCAAATATTTAGGCCTACCTGCCCGTATTCAGAGATCCAAGGTGGATACCTTCAGGTTTGTCGAAGAAGCCCTAACCCGTCGTATTCACAACTGGAAAACAAAGTCACTCTCGTTGGCGGCAAAGGAGGTAGTCATCAAAGCAGTTGGGTCAGCAACACCAGTCTATGCCATGCTCTTGTTCCGACTCCCATCCACCTCTTGCCGTCGTATGAATGGTCAACTCTCCAGGTTCTGGTGGGCTGGACAGGATAAGGAAAAAGGGATGCATTGGATATCTTGGTCTGCCTTGTGTGTGAGTAAGTTTCGTGGTGGTCTTGGTTTTCGGGATTTTGACCTTTTTAATGTTGCAATGCTAGCTAAACAAGCGTGGAAGGTTCTTCAGTCTCCCAACTCTACCCTTGCTCGACTGTATAAAGCTCGCTACCACCCACGTTGTGATTTCCTATCGGCTTCGACGGGTACTCGCCCTTCATGGGCTTGGCAAGGCGTGATTGAGGGGCGTACTCTTCTACAAAAAGGGCTGAGATGGCAGGTTGGGTGTGGTACTGCGATTCGTATTGTCGGGGATCCTTGGCTGCCCTCCTCCCCCCCCCCCTTCTTCTCCTACCCTTCTTCCTGGAGTTATCCTGTCTAATCCCTTTGTTGCTTCACTTATTCATCCGCTCACCCGCACTTGGAATACTGACCTGATTCGCTCTTGCTTTTCCTGTGATAGTGTCAAATTGATTCTGTCTATCCCACTTCCAGCATCTCCGCAACCAGATAAAATTATTTGGCATTATTCTGACTCATGAATTTATACTGTGAAGACAGGTTATCACATCCTCTCGGATGAACGCTCAGAGGTGTATGACACGCTTCCATCTCACTTAGACACCAAGTTTTGGAAGTCTCTCTGGAGTTTACCTATCCCTCCTAAGCTGAAGTTTTTCCTTTGGAGGGTCGTGAGAGGCTTGCTGCCGTGCCTGGAAATTCTGCAGAATCGATCCTTGAGTCCAACTAGTCTTTGCCCTGTATGCTCGGATGCTAATGAATCCATTTCACACTGTCTGTTTGACTGCAGGGTAGCTCGGGAAGTTTGGAGATTAGCTGGGAAAGAAAATATTTGGCTGGTAATTGCTCACATGCCCACTGATTTGGCTTGGGCTCACCTCTTCTTTGGCTTGCAGTTACACAAGGTCGAGCTGGCAGAACTAGTGTTCCTCACATGGCGACTTTGGAAGGGACGATGTTGGGCTTGTTATGATCATATCCAGTATCTACCCGCTCCGCTCCACAGACAATTCACCCAACAGCGAGATGAATGGGTGGCGGCCACTTGGGTCGAGTACCACAGCAAGCTGCAGCCCCGTCCCCTCCCCCAGGTGGGTTGCTTATACGATTCGATGGCGCTACTAAGCGAGATGTCGGGGGAAGTATTGGCTTTGTTGGTTTCTCGCCCTCCGACTCTCTAGTTTGTGCATTCGGCAAGTATTATGAAGGTATATCGGATGCATTTCTGATGGAATTGTTAGCTTTACGTGATGCAATGGATTGGTGTTTAACTCGTGGTGTGTACTCTGTCTGTTTTTGTGGTGATTCGCAACTGGTGATTCGCCGTGCTATGGAGAATGATGTTCATCATGGCCGAGGCGGGGCGATCCTTGAGGAAGTGCTACTGATGAAGTCCTCTTTCTCAGTACTTAGTTTTGTTTTTTCTCCTCGTAGAACTAACAGGGCTGCCCATTGCGTGGCGAAACAGGCTCTTGCATCGGTGGATCGGCATTTGGCTGATTACCGTTTTTTATTTTTCACCTCATTGTAATTCCCTATCTATTAAATATCTATCTAAGGCAAAAAAAAGTTGGCCGGTTGCAATATGATAATAGTAATTAACAAAGCTTCAAGATTTAAATGTCAATAATCTTCTTTTTTCTTATATTCTTGTCATTATTATATATTAATGGAAAAATCCCAAAATACACATATTTTAAAAAAAAATCTCAAAATACACATGTTATAAAAAAATTTCCCAAAATACACATGTTTGGGCATCACCGTTGTTGTCAACCGCAGTGAATGCATTCACCGCGGCTGAATAAAGCGGTGAATGCATCACCGCAGTTGACGGCCGCGGTGAATGCCTGACGTAACACTAAAACTTCAAACAAACATAACTTTGCGCTCGGTTATCCGATTGTAGCGAATTTTTTTTATTCCACATAACTTTTCAAGATCTTTCAATCTGAAATAAGACTTCATCCAAAAAAAATTATTTGCTACCCCGAACGAGCAATTTTTCGATTTTGACAAACTTTGGAAGATCATAATTTTGTGCTCCAAAATCCGAATATCATGAAACTTTTTTGATTTTGCATAACTTTTGAAGTACTACAACTTTTAGTATAACCATAATTTTGTAA